CAAATTTCGCATAGCTGTGGACAATTTAATGGTGGATCGTTTGGCATAAGCGTTTAGATTTACAACTAAGGCTGCTAACCTACAACAGGTCAAAATCAGGCCATGGAATCAGCGCGCACAATTCTTAGGAAATCGTTCAAACTGATGCAATAAAGGAGTGTTAGAGGAGGCCATACATCTCTAAGGGAGTTTCTTAGGCTACACAACAACTTAATGAGCAAATTTAATTGACCTAGGGTCAGATATAAAAGTGAGACCAGGGTCAAACCCAGCCTGATGTTGCTCTGGAGCCTTCTGTATGGAATAGATCCTGGTGCTCACTTTTGATCTATTGATAACGGGAACCGCATTGCACACCCTGCATGGACTTCTTTAGGATCATTATAGGTAATTGGCCTAAGACGGCCCAGGTCAACATCTTGTTTTAAGTAACATATTGCCTAGCGTAATATTTGAAGCTTATTGAAATGCAACTCTAAGCATTCTTGTATGATATTGGTCGCTATGACCCACGGAAGGCAAAATAAGGTCACTTAACTTAAATGGGCACCGGTAACTTTTTTAGAGCAGGTATCTAGGTTCTGGGGGGACTTAGGCCACCAATCTGGATTTAACCTTGTTTGACCTTACCTGCCCGGAGATCCTGGCCTATGAAAGTCAAACTTTGACACAGGGGAGTTCACATACAGGCCAACATGCCCTGTGAATTTCCTGTCCCTAGCTCCCTCAGTTTCTGAGATATCAGGGCGGTCAAATTAACCCCCACCCGAGGGAAGGGTAGTCAACCGGCCATCCGGACGCATGTTAATCCTCGCCCAGATAGTGAGTGACCGGTGAGATCCGCCCCCCTCCCCCTTCTAAGGTTTTTGAGGATACCTTCCCGACTTGTTGAACAATCGAGCCCAAACTTTAAGTGGTCGATGAGCATCTATTGCATGTGTTTGAAAAACCAAAAGCATGTTCCTATCTTTGCTGGTTTCGTAACAACAGTGGTTTTTAGGAACACTGCACGACGGTTTACGGCTGTCGCGAGTGGCGAGTGACAACCGACGATGGCGCGGATGTGCGCGATGGGCCGACATTGTCACATTAAGGGTCAAATTGTCAAATTGAATAACATGCATCATAAACATGTGCTCAAAACACATAATGTATACCACTGAACTCAGAACTGAACAAGGAACACACCTGTTCAAGGTTTGTGTCGCCTCAAGGCATCATCTCTTATGTAAAACGTTGTAAGGCTGAAAATTGCGGTTTTCACGAAAATATGACTTTTGATCTGACATAATGGACCCAGTTATTGACCTAACAACATACAAACTAGCATCAATCGCAAGATTTTGTTGCGACCGGTTCGCTGGTGTTTTCTGCTAAACTCTATCTCTATTAGTTTGGAAACGCCAGGGGCGCATCGACCCCTCTATCGGTTTGGAAACGCCAGGGCGCACATCGACCCCTCTATCAGTTTGGAAACGCCGGGGGCGCATCGATCCCTCTATCAGTTTGGAAACGCCAGGGGCGTGTCGACCCCTCTATCAGTTTGGAAACGCCAGGGGCGCATCGACCCCTCTATCGGTTTGGAAAGGCCAGGGGGCGCATTGACACCTTTATCGGTTTGCGTCACGAGAAATGGCCAATCAGGGCAAGAGTTAATATACCACATAACTTTCCGATACTGCTATGCATTGGTATGTGGCACAGAGCAAAAACTAGCGAGTCGTTCTCAGAACCAATTAACACCCGACTAGAGTCGGGGAGCTCACAGTCCGAGACGATGTGAGCCTGCTTGCTAACACACAAGACCAACACAATGGTCCGAAAATAGTTCATCCGTAATGCTTGCGCTCCGTTGCAATCACTTTGTGAAAACCTGATCGTGTTTTGTAATTTCATGCAGTTCTTACGGACGGCAAAATTTCCTCGGGTTTCGCAGAACAACGCCGCGTTTTTACTTCGGCCACGGCTTTGGGCCTGTGATTTATAAACATTGATGGGGACGGGTTTGGCAATGCGTTTCCTAAATTAGCAGCATTTTAAATTAACGTTGACGTCGCCTTAGCTTTGCGTTAAAAAGTTAAAAATAAATCACTTCAACTTCTGTCATATTTTTAAAATATAGAAGCCTCTGGCGTCGTCCCTGGCTTCGCGCATCATAAGAGCGGCCGGCTTCGGCTTATGCTTTGACTTCATGTCATCATGACCATTTGGCATCATGTCTTCATGGCTTCATTAAACCATCGAGCCAAGGGATGCGGAACTGAGCGTACGCAACACACGGGTGTGAATGTTGGGTGGCCGTTGCTCGCGACGGTGCTAAAATGCGCACACGGGGGGGGGGGGGGAATCCATCCTCCGACGCGTTTGATTTCCATCCTATCCTGGCGCTACAGGTTTCCTTATCCTGCACGCATGACACCATAGAAACGTCGAGCAAATGCCGGCACCTAAATGGCCAAGTAGTGCTAAGTGTCAGTCAGAGGGCCTTTTCTGCCGATTTGGCCCCTAGGTCAATGAGGGCGTCTAAATTGAGCAGGCACCACCAATACCGAACAGCCGGCTCCATGTAGGGACAGGGCCTGGGGCTCACGATTTACATCGACTGGGCCCTAGGTCAATTTTGTTTAAAATTTGTATCGACCACGGGCCCACATTGCATCGACTAGGGATCCACAGAGTCTAACTAGGGTACTGTATCATGCAAGAGGCCCTGAGTCGGCCAGGGACAGTGTTCAGAGGGGCCTGAAGAGGAACGCTATGGATCTGTTGGACCGACGATCGCGGCCCCAATTGAAGAGCCCAAGGGTCCAGGGAACCCGAAGGGCTTTGGATCAAATGAAGGAGCCCGGCCAGTGTGCCCATGACTTCAAGTGTCAGTCAGAGAGCATCTCGCACCTCTTGAGAACCTTTGACACAATGCTGGCCTCTGCTTCGATCAGAGACCACCAACACTGAATGACTAGCTTCGTGTCGGCTTGAGTGCTAGGGCCCATTTACCAGGCAAGAACAAGGGCAGGCAATGCAACCTGCATTGGTCGTGCACCCTGAACAGTGAGGTTCCTCTGTGCTGTCAGAGACCCAAAGTGCTCAACAAGAGCCCTGTGTCGGTAAGTGACCCCGAGTCGGTTAGGGGCCGTGTTCGAGTGGGAGCCAAAGGCCATGCGGGCCGGGCTCGCGGTTTGCATTGGTTGGGGCTCCTGCAGCAATGAGGGTCCTTGTGACGGTTAGGGGCCCACATCGCCTACAGGAGCCCTACGTCGGCAAGGGGTCTCAAGTCTGTCGGGAGAACACTTGCTGAACAGATCCAGGGACAGGGGCGGGACCTGGAATGCCAGAGGACCTCTTGTGTTGGTCGGAACCTTTTGACAATGGAACGGACATGAGAGCTTATGATGAGAGTTCACAGCAAGACAATGGAAGGGTCTGTGTCAGTCAGGTGCCCCAAAGTCGAAAGGGGCCATCCAATCCATTTCAGCCATACGTTAGGGAGGCGACCAACGTATGATGTATCTCACTAAGTGTCTCCGAATGGACCAGGCGAACCTGATCCCGCGTTGCTAGAATGGCAAGTGGTAAGCGCCCTGCGCTGGGAGGGAGTGGTCCTTCAGTCCTTGGCCGGAAACGTCGTAGTAACGTCGGAAACGATGTAGGCTGGTCATGTGCCCTTTGCGTGCTACCCACGAGACCCCTTGCCCGGAGTAAGGCAAATAGGTCTCAGTAGTGCTCAATGGAGTGGATCGAAATAAGTTCACGAATGGAGAAGGCCGGTCCAAGTTCACCTGAGAATGTTTTCCTGAGAATCCCTTTGGAAGAATCGACTTGTGACACAAGTTACATAACATGTTTTGGAGCCTGCACGCTCGCGATCTCAGAAACAAGAACAGCCGGCCGGCCGGTGTTGCAGTTTCCGTGGAATCAAGCGGCGTTGGCCGCTGCAGGTAGCTCCAGGTGGAGGGCGCCAGGCGAGCTGGAACGACCTTCGTGAGCCTATGCTTTCGAAAGTCCTTTAAAATCCAACCTTACCGTTCGAAGACCAGACAAAGGTGACTATTTCGCCTTTTAATATCGAGGATGTCCTCGGGACATACTAACAACTAGGGCGGCACGAAAAACAGAGATACGAGAAGACTTCCTTTCAACGTACGAATTGCTCTCCGGAAGTATTCAAAGGTGTTTGTTTCAGATGCGCCACCATTTTCATCCGGCTGCTGTCCGTCCGCTTGGTGTTGGCCACAGGGTACAGCATGCAGAGGCTGAAATGCTGAGCGTCGGGTTTTTTTGGAAGACTTGGGAGCGCGTATGTCCAAAATTATGTTCGAGTGAGTGAGTTCGAATATTTCCAGATAAATGAGCGTTGGTCATGCAAACGTAAATTTGTTATCCTATTTATATGTATAATCTACGGTTACCTCTCTAATATGTATATAGAACGCATGAATTGAGAGCACATAGAACGCAATGAATTCTGGAAAAGCCTGAGAGTTCCACCATTGTAGAAAAATCCCACCGAACCATGGCATAATGGATAGTGCCGGTGGTTTATTTAATTCAGTCATTTAAGGTCGAATTCTTGCAATTTATCAATGTCAAAAATGCAAACAAAATTTATTTTCCGGTAGGCTATGGTTTCTGCCTTAACTGAGGAAGGTAAACACAAATATAAAACCAAGAAAACTGCGCCACCTCGGAATCAAGTGGGCCATACTTGGTTAGCATATACGGTTACTCAGGAATGGAGTCCTGAACACCCAAAGCTCCCACGTCGAGATCCGGCAAGAGGCCTTAAGACCATCATAGCCTGCCCTCTACCGAACTAGGGGAAATCCCCTTCACGAGAGCCTATGCTATGGCGGGTGCGGTGCCTCGCTAAGCCTGCGGTCTTACCATATTCGGTGAATTCACGGCCGGCTAAGGCTGGACCGGCTGGATCATGTGGGCCGCCCAGCCGCCGGTTTTCAGAGCCTCGCGCTGCAGCTCGGCGTCAGTCGAGCGCCGGACAGACCGGGCTGGATACCACGGCAGCGCTGGGAGCGACCGCACGCGCTGGGCATTCACGCGACTTCACAATTCAAGATCGAGGTGAGTGTGTTCTAGCTCGTCTGATTTGGCAGTGGCCAATGGCGACCGATTCAAGATCGAGGTGAGTGTGTTCTTGCTCGTCTGATTTGGCAGTGGCCAATGGCGACCGAGAGAGAGAGAGAGAGAGAGAGAGAGAGAGAGAGAGAGAGAGAGAGAGAGAGAGAGAGAGAGAGAGAGAGAGAGAGAGGGGGGGAGAGAGATCGCACTGGCTAGCAAGCATAAGACCCTTTTCAACGTTCTCCGGGCAGGCTGTTTGAACAGAGATGGGAACAGAGAGAGGAGAGAGGGAGAGAGAGAGAGAGAGAGAGAGATCGCACTGGCTAGCAAGCATAAGACCCTTTTCAACGTTCTCCGGGCAGGCTGTTTGAACAGAGATGGGAACAGAAGACCCTCTTGGCGTTTGTTTTGCTGAGATGGGCCTTCTGTCTGGGACACACTATGTTTGACAGCAAAAACTGCCGGCATAAGGACCTGCTCACACGGAGCACTTCTCGTTGTGTAGCGTTGCGATTGGATGCGAACGGAACGCTACTGAAAAGCAGTATAACAACCAAAACGGCGCGCACCTTAATATAACCAACCGCCGGTGATAAGCCTTATCGAGTCAAGATGGCAGACGCTGGTGTGTTCTATAGAAATATCTTACGGGGAGCGGAAATGTTTTATTGACGTTCAAAACGTCATGGGCTAAGAAGGGGCACTCCATCCCGCATGGTGCGTGCGCTGTAGTGTGGGTCACCTTGTGGCATCTGACTGGTCCCAACACTATGCTTTTTCAGTTGCGTTCCTCCTCGCTTTCCATCCCGGTGCCGCACGCCGAAAGGTGTCCAATGTGGGTCGGCCATATGCATGTAAAGCGAAGATAATGAGGCAGAGGTCGACTCGTCAGGCGGTGGTAATCCTCGCAGGAATATCCGGGGTTACTTATCTTCTCAGCTATTTTGCAGTCTGCTGGCACGGTCAGTACTTGACCGCCAGCACCGGGCTTTAATGCTCCGCTGTATAGACGTCAAATGCCGTCGCTAAGCCCCGCGTCACTCTCCTCAGATGGGGCCTCTGCTGATGGCCGTGATCGGGGCGCTGCTGTCGCACGGCGGCGCGCTCGCCCGACCACAGACTGAAAAAGACGCGTTCCTCGGCTCCCTGCTCGGCGACACCAGCACCAGTCCCGAGGACAACGACCAGTTCAACGCCGGCCTACTCGGAGACACCAGCACCAGTCCTGAGGACGATGACCAGTTCATCACCGGACTATTCGGAGACACTAGCACCAGTCCTGAGAACGACGCCCAGTTCATCGCCGACCTACTCGGCAGCGTCACCGAACCGCCGTGCGCCAACGTCGCCGGCCTGGACGACACGGATTTTTTGTCGACTCTGACAGGCGACTGCACAGGCTCCACGCCACCACCGGATGTGGTGCGCTGCGAGCGCGGGCAACACGTCTGCGCACCCTACTTCCGCTGCGACGAGGCGGACATCGTCAGCGATGGATTTGGTGGATTCGACGTGCGCATCGGCAAGCAGCAGTTTGAGCGCGACTTTGACTTCATCACGCACTCGGAGTGCCCTCGATTCGGCGATGTCTGCTGCACGCAGCCGAAACGGCCAGAGGACCTAAAAGATCCCGAGCCTTACGTACCGCAGTGCGGCCGCCGCAACCAACTCGGCATCAACGCACGCATCGTCGGCTTCAAAGACAACGAGACGCAGTTTGGCGAGATCCCCTGGATGGTGGCCGTGCTGCACGTGGAGGAGGTGGGCGGCGAGGAGCGCAACTTCTTCGAGTGCGGCGGCTCGCTGATTCACCCGCAGGTGGTGATGACCGCCGCTCACTGCGTGCACGAACGGGACGCATTGCATCGCCTGCGTGTGCGCCTCGGCGAATGGGACACGCAGCAGGAGAGCGAGCGCTTCCGACACGTGGACGTGAACGTGGCACGTGTTGCGGTGCACGAGGATTTTCGGCCGCTACGCCTCAGCGACAACGTGGCGCTGCTCTTCCTGGAGGAACCCGTCGAGCTGCAGGAGCATATCGACACGCTGTGCCTGCCCGACCCGGATGTCGTATATGACCAGGCCGAGTGCATCGCCACCGGTTGGGGCAAGGACGCCTTCGTGGCCGGCCAGTTCCAGACCGTACTGAAGCAGATCGAGCTGCCGCTCGTGCCGCACGCCGCCTGCCAAGCTGCGCTGCGCAAAACCAGGCTGACAAATTACTTTGTGCTGGACCGCTCTTTCAGATGCGCCGGCGGTGTGGGCGGCCAGGACACGTGTACCGGTGACGGCGGCTCGCCGCTGGCCTGTCGCGACCCGCGCGACCCCGACCGCTACATCCAGCTCGGCGTCGTCTCTTGGGGCATCGGCTGTGGCACGGAAGGCGTGCCGGGCGTGTACGCCGATGTTGCACAGCAGGTGCGCTGGATCCGTGAACAGGCGGCCGCGGCTGGTCTGACCTTGTAGGAACGCCTCAGGAGCCGGCGTTGGTCTCCGAAGTGTGATGCGACGTTGTGTTTTGAAGAGTGTTCAAACCTTGTATGCACGGCCGTACTGTACGTGACGAACAATTATACACAAACCCTCCCCACGAAATTTTTGACGATTCTGCAGCTATATGTCAACGAGTTTTCAAATCATACCGTGTGGTTGTAGCTTGCCACAGCAGAACTACTGACTGGTTGCTACTACCATGATCGTCATAATCATGTAGCCGTTACGAATTGTTTAATACCTGTGGTTTAATAGTGCATTCGAGATAATTTACTTTATGTTCTACGATAAACATGAAGATGCATCAGTAACACAACACTAATACCGCAAAAACAGCCCTTAAGAGCAGACAGTGTCCTCTATGCCACATTGGTGCAGTCCAGACATGAACACAGCACCGCTCCGGCGGGCCACAAGGGCAGGCGGCAGGCGGTTCCAGGACAAGGCTGTACCGTACGACAACGTCCTGCACGCCAGTCTAACAATTTTTCAAACTGTCTTTCCGACTGTCCAAGCTGGAAAGCGGTAAACCCCAAAGTGGCGGCCACCACCAACCTCGTGACGCGCCAACAGCGGTGCGTGGGGAGGGCAGTGACGGGACCGGCGCCGGGGCGCAGAGGTCAGTAGGGGCCCTGCGGGCGCCAGTGCGGCCACGCCAGAGCATCCTGCGGCAAACGTGATCAGTCTGCTACGCGGCATTTTAAAGCGTCGTGCGAGACAGATGGGTTTGCCTTGGGCTCAGTGCGAGGCTGTGAGCTACCGTTGGTTGTGTCCGTGTTGTGCAATGCTCACTGGGTTAAAGGACGTAGTTATTAATTAAGACGCTATGCGTCTCTTGTGAGCATCTGCCATGAAGAGCGCTCCTGGTAATAGCGTTAAAAACCCTGTTGATCTAGGAGGCTTGTTGCTTCTGGATACCCGAACTGGAGCTTCACATGTGAAGGGGGGACGATGGAGCGACACATGTCAGGGGTTCCTGCTTCTGAGACGGACAGCGGCTTTGGGATAAGAGGCTGAGCATCACTGGCGTTGGCCTCTCACACCGCCCGTCGCATCTCAGATTTAGATAACTGACGCTTGCTCAGACTGACTGACAGACGTGAGATAAAACGCTTCTTATTGCCAATATACTGTATACAGAGGTAAGCGAAGATGCTAGAGGTGTTTAAAACTTAATTTTTTTCATCTGCTGATGCCAATGTCGCATGGGTCTCAGACCAAATTCTGTTGATTGAGCCAGTGTTAGGAAGTGCGAGACCTGCACCGGTAAAAACAGTGATATAGCGAGAATAAAATAAAAACGCGAGAATAGTGAGAGCCATCACGGTTTTCAGCCGATTGTAAGATGACGTCACATAGCCAGAAGTGATATTTTTCAGGTGCTTGTAGAACCATGCTATAGGCAGATGTAGGGCTACAGAGATACAATATTCCTATTTTTTTAAAATAGGGATGGATGAGAGAAGGGGCGGGTGCGCAGCAAGAGTAAATATCAGAGCCTGCCTCCAAGATGTAATTAAAACAGTTTTCGACCCAGATTTGACCCACTTCCTCTTCACAGTTGGGAGCAGGGGCGTGGCTTCTTAAAATTAGTTGCGGAGTGTGCTTTGCCCTATGAAATGATAGCGATAAAAACTGATGAATGAAAAATGATGACTAAAAGTAGCCAGCTTCATCCCTGGTTGGGAGGCACAAGCCACAAACTAGATAGGAAACTACATTCCTGTAGGTCTAGTTATGTTAGGCATATCTTTGTCCGATAAATTTAGAAGATTAGCCTCGACCATGTTTCAGAATTTTGATGGATTGCCTAAGGTGACCTAGCTGAACAGCTGCTCTGGAGCAAAGTCCGAACAGACGGTGGTGATTATGAGCACTACACAGCGATCCACGGCTGGCGCGGACAAAATGCAGCTGCCGACAATGCCGCGGGACGCGCGCTGCGTGTCGACACCGTTACACTAGCGGATCCCTGTATCGTAACTATATCTAGAAACACGGCAATTTATGCTCCGCGTATCTGCGGACTGTTAACTCACGCAGAAGGACAGCTGAAGTTCAAAAGCTCTATTTCGAAAAAATATTCGACCTGGCTTAGAAGAGTCCATTTTTAACCTACCAAGGTGCAACATTTTGCTAACCACAAGATTTTGATCCTTTCGACCTTGATATTCTTCGTCCCGCCATCAGTCCACGCCACGAAAAACGACAGATCAGGGCGAGGGTCAGACGCTCTACAGCCTGACGTCTGCGCTTCCTAGTCCTGCTTCAGACATGCGGCCCCTCCTGTGTACAAAATGCAGCCACTCCAGTGTCGAATGCTGGCCCACCGTAGCGCCGAACGCGTACCCACTCCAGTGCTAGACACGCGGCCTCTCCTGTGCCGCCTAGTGCTTGACGGCTGCCTTTGTGTCGGCATGAGGCCTCCCCGTGACGGACACAAGGCCGCCCTAGTGCTTGACGGCTGCCCCTGTGTCTGACATACGGCCTGTCGTATACCGGGCACGCGCCTTTCCTGTACCGGACGGCGGCTGATGTCGAACACGCGGCCCCTCTTGTGCCGGACACCCGGCCGCTCCTGTGCCGGACGGCGGCTGATGTCGGACACGCGGCCCCTCTTGTGCCGGACACCCGGCCGCTCCTGTGCCGGACGGCGGCTGATGTCGGACACGCGGCCCCTCTTGTGCCGGACACCCGGCCGCTCCTGTGCCGGACGGCGGCTGATGTCGGACACGCGGCCCCTCTTGTGCCGGACAACCCGGCCGATCCTGTACCGGACGGCGGCTGATGTCGGACACGCGGCCCCTCTTGTGCCGGACACCCGGCCGCTCCTGTACCGGACGGCGGCTGATGTCGGACACGCGGCCCCTCTTGTGCCGGACACCCGGCCGCTCCTGTGCCGGACGGCGGCTGATGTCGGACACGCGGCCCCTCTTGTGCCGGACACCCGGCCGCTCCTGTGCCGGACATTCGGCAGTCCCGGTGCTCGAACGGGGTCGCTCCAACGTTCCCCGTTCACCTGTGAAGCTTCAGTTGGGGTATTCCGAAACAACAAGCCTCCTAGATCAACAGTCTTTTAACGCTATTACCAGGAGCGCTCTTCATGGCAGATGCTCACAAGAGACGCATAGCGTCTGAATTTATAATTACGTCCTTTAACCCAGTGAGCTTTCCACAACACGGACACAACCAACGGTAGCTCACAGCCTCGCACTGAGCCCAAGGCAAACCCATCTGTCTCGCACGACGCTTTAAAACGCCGCGTAGCAGACTGATCACGTTTGCCGCAGGATGCTCTGGCGTGACCGCGCTGGCGCCTGCAGGGCCCCTACTGACCTCTGCGCCCCGGCGCCGGTCCCGTCACTGCCCTCCCCGCGCACCACTGTGAGCGCGTCACGAGGTTTAGCTTTTCCAGACAGTCCGCGCGGCCGGACCCTCACTGAGCCCCGTCCAGCGCATACGCACGAATTCCTTTAAAGGGGGCGCGTGTGCTCCATCCGTTTTCCATGCACTTTCTGTTGCATGGCCTGACCCGGCTCGACTCACTGACTGATCAGAGCACGAAGTCTATCCTCGGTTGGCAAGGGCCCCTCTCGTCCGGGAGGGATCCGCCACGGGCACCGGGGGCTGGGTGAGGGGAATACGGTGTTGAACGGTCATAAGCAGACGGGATCTCCGGGCTTTTAGTCAGCCGTTGGAGGGAGAGATTACCTGCCGTAAGTGGTGAGGCATTGCGGTGAGATGCGCCGAGCCCGCTACGTATCGAGAGACCCTCCGGGATTCTGCGAGACCAGGGGACGTCGCTAGCAAGGCGTCGGCCGGGGCAGCACTTGGAAAGAAAGGCGGAACGTGGCCGAGTAGCACGACTGGACTACGGCTGGGTTGAAGAGTCAGACGACCGCAGTCCTGCTTTACGCAGATGTATGCTTGCGGGCAGCGTGACTCGAAGGCACAGTTTTTTGGACTAAGAGCTTCGCTTTTTTGGATTAAGGGCACTGGAAAAGACAACCCGTCTAACCAGCCAACAGACTAACGCCACGGGTGACCTTCAGGAATATGCAGGCGTCGCCCGTACGCCGCGTCAGGCCGCCGTGGGACAGGCGAGGGCTATGACGAGCCGCGGCACCTCCACGTGGCCGCCTCCAACGACAAAATCAAGACAGCCTCGGCGCGGGCTAACGAGTGAGCTGTCGCGTCGAAGTGCGCGTCAACGGTCTCGGACACCATACCATCCCACGTCGGGCACGAGTGCCCTTTCGCTGCCTGGCTAAATCAGCCTTTAAAGAGCAGACCGTCACCTGTATTTACAAACTCACTGGCGCATATTGACACACCAGTTCGTCGCTTCACGCGGGCCAAGCGCCGAAAACCCTTTTAGCCCTGAAAACCCTTTTAGCCCTGAAAACGGCCGAGACACAGTGCCGGCCGGGAATGACGCATGACCAGGATCCCACTCCTCCCCCCATCCCCACCCCAGTCTCCAACTACACCGGAGGGAGCAGGTATCCGTGGCCCGCGCCCGCCCGTTGGACAGGAGTCAAGGCACGCGTTTGGAGCGCCAGCCGCCCATGGTCCGGTAAGGATGGGGGACAACAGCCTGCGGACTCACACGTGCATGTTGTCATCGGTGTCCCATTGTCCGCGGGGCTAGGTGACGTCGCCAGGTGATGAGGGGTGAAACCCTCTCGTCATGTGGAGGCACGACTGTAGGCACCTGATGCACTCCCTGGCACTGACTTCCTCGGAGACCTCTCCCGCCTGCTATCTGTTCAATTCAAACACCCTGTTAGACTCCCCTCCATAGTCTCCCCCCCCCCTCCCCTGCACAATATTTTAATTCTCCATAATTCTTCCAGATGGGTCGGCCCGCCTTCGTCTTCTTCCATGGTCCAATAGTTTTGCCGCCACGCCATTGCCGTCCAACGTGTTGCCGGGCCGGCCTAACTTTCTTCCAGGACCCTGCCCTGACGTGCCCCTGGACCAGATCTCGGGCACGGCGTCGTGCAACGTACGGACGGTGCAAAATCCGTCCGTTCGCGTCTCGGGCGGACCCTGCGTGCCCCCCCCCCCCCCCCTCTTGCTTAGTTCTC